TATCTTTATGTCTAAAATAGATAAATTGGTCGAAAACTATGGGGGTAGCCATACATGTATAACTAGTATCATGATTTTCGAATATCCGGCTGACTTTACTAATTCGGGTCGATACTATCCCAACACTAATATTCTACATATAATAATTTTCGTTTTTCTAACACACCTTATGCCTAATATGTCGATCGGTGTATGAGTTATACAGAGTATAGTATGTATATAAAATTACCAAGATTCCGATCTTCTCGTTGACGTTTTACATCTGAAGGTATTTCTCTGGCTTTAAATTTTGCAAATATAAAATGTTCGGTTTCACTCGAACTTAGCCCTTACATTTTCTCAAACACTTGTTTCTCTTACTTTTAAAGGTACGAAAGCGAAGGGTGACAAAAAGTTTAATTATGCTTTTCGCCAATTGTCGCAAGGCGATTCATTTCTGCATGTATGTGTGCGAGGGTGTTCATGCTTCTGCCGTTTTGCGTTTTTGCGAGTGCACACTTGATGTCTTTTGTGAGCTACGTTGGTCTCATCTTTGAAGCGTGTACAAGTAGTCCGATTGAAGTCATGTACGTACAGGTACATACACGTATGACACAAAGCATGCCAGGCCAGCCAGCAAAGTTGCCGCTCAAGTTGCAAACGTTCAAGACTCGAGACTAAAGATTGTTGCTTCCGATGTTGCGTTTGACTTTCTTCCTTCGCTCTTATTTAATTTTTGATGCCCACTCCAGTGGAACCATGTTGTTATAATGGCAATTATTGCTATTGTTGGCCTTGTAAATATTTGAAGTTTAAAACTCGTTCCACTCCCTTCTTTTTCTTTCAACAACTTGTGCCTCTTTGGTTTTATTCGACTCGTTATCACATTTTAAGTGTCGCGGATTATGTGATTTTACAGCAGATAAATTTTTAAAATTACCGTTATTTAATTTACGCAACATTTTTAACGACATTATTATCGTCTCTTCTTCTTTATTGAAATCATCTTCAGTACTTTTTTATTTTTTCTTGGCTTTTGGTTGGAATTTTTATGACTTATATTAATTGTTTCGTTAGAGGATGGTATCCATTTTTTCTGCTGTGGTGCTTCATTGAAGTTTCCGGTCTTTATACAGGTTTTCAACTTAATCATGATGCATTCATATGGAAGTCTCTACCATTAAATTTGATTTGAATTAAGTTATTGCGAAAGAAACTTTGTAACCATCTGAAGGAATTGTTGCTGATGTTCAACTAAAATTTATCGATTCTCTCTTTAAACACCATATTCACAAATATGACAAACTCATATTGAAAACATCAGAATGATAATCAAATACAAAAATTATAGCAACAAATTACTTCTAATCCCACAAACACAGTTTCTGTTAGTGCCAAGGCACACGCTGAAGCATCAAAGGAATACAAAGCTTTACTTGATGTAACAATTATCGATTATATAAGTATATTGAATGCATGTGTGTTTGTATTTCTTGACAGAGAACTTTCCTCACTTGCGTGAACTTATACACATGACTCCATCCTCCCTGCTTTCCCTGTGGTTTACCACAAAGTTTGTTCCTGAATAGTTGGCACTGTTGTTTTCCGCTAACCACAAAGTTGCAATGTGTACACATGGTCAGGCCACTCAAATATACACACACACAAATAAACACACATACATGTGCTTGTAAACATATACACACATACTGACTTTCTGCAACATTTCTGTTTTCATATGTCGTTTGTTTTTGCTTTTACTTCGTTTTTAGCGCTGTGCAGCAGTTTGTCTTAACACCGTCACCCTTATGACATTCACCTTCCACTTCCCCATTTGCGTATTCACCTTTAAATCTGCCTTTCACTGTAGGCTGTGGTTTTGTTGTGTTGAAGAATTCCTTCATTCAGACTTTCTATTTACCAAACGCTAAACCAAGAATAATATTACTTTTATTTCAGGTAAATATGTTTAACCTATGAGAAATTATTGCTCAGCTACTGGCCATCAGTCTTGAAGCTTAAAGGGTAGAATTTGATCCAAATTCAGTGAACCTGAACAAAAATATATTGTAATCTTTAACCTTTTAAATGTGAGCTAGCACCCATTAGGTTCGGTGTTAAAATAATGATCTCTCTAGTTTAAATTCTATACGAGAGGAGGTCGTTTTTGATATAGTTTCCAGTAGGATGATTCGTTTCATTTACGTATCTCTTATTTCTATGAGAATCCTTTTTATATCCTGAACAGTGTACATTAAGTTTGCCACGATATTTCTAACAGCTGGAAGGAAACGTCGCAGGCTCTACTAATAACATTTAGCCAGTCTTATTGTTTGTATATGCGAACTAGTCCCTCAGTGATATTGATTTCAAATTTTGCACACATCGGACCGCTAGGGCATATGGCCATATAAACTGAACGATCGGCCGGATGGATGGAAGACTTTTTATTGGGCACTATTTCTCCACAAAATTTGACAAAGCATTGTTATCTAAAGCATTACTAAAACATCTGAATAACTTTTCCAGATCGCATGACTATAGCATGAAGCTGTCATACAAGCTCCCTTATTAGAAAAGAAATATTTGCTGAGTGAGTACCTCAATGAGCCAATTTCAAATCTGCAATATTATATATACCATATACATAAATAAATTTTAAATATTTAGAAAATTTTAGTTCGCCCTAACTGTATTAGGGTTTCATTAAAGAAGGTGGAAGAATGATCTTGAGACCCCATCTTTAAGTTGATAAAGCGAAATCTGCAAAATCTTAAGCATACTCTCAGGTAGTTGAGAAGCTGGAGCAGTTTTCACGCGCATGTGCAGCCGTCAGCCGCTTTATGATTCAAGATATATAGGGAAAATAAAATCCCATATTTCATCAAAGAAGTGTATCAAGTCTACGCAGTTGTGAGTGAAGATTTTAGAAATTGAAGGTTAAAGGTAAATAAATTACTATGTCTGATCTGTTCAAAGAATGTTTTCTTCAATGAGATTGGAAATTAATTTAAATTTCACACACACATATATACATATATATTATAACGTAAACGTAAACAAACTTAGCTTTACCTGAACTAGTAAGGATCTTTTCGAGGCGTTTGAGAGGAAATGAGAAATTGAACAGAAAATAATTATCATTTGCTTTGCTTAAAGTTGAATAATATATGTAGTTAAAAACTTCAAAAAAGCTGTAATTAATTTTCGGCAAGATCTCAGATCTTTGAATCTTTTAAGATAATAATTCTGAACCATAAAACCTCACTACTTCATAATAATAAAATATCAGTAGACTGGAGACAAAGGTTTTTAATGACAAACAAAGCTTTTAGTGGTATTTCTATCATAAATTTTTAGCAGAAGTTCTGTAATATGTCGTCTGATAATACTCATACGCTCCGACGAACAGCGCTTTAAAAATGCATGGATAAGCGAAGCCTTTCTTTTATTGCCGGAGTTGCATTTGTTTTGCACAAAAAATAATTATTTAACATAAATAACAAACATAACAATCACATTTGATATATAAAGCGGATATAGAAGAAATGCCTTGCAACAAATAAAACCTGAAAGTTACAAGAATGATTTCAGCAAGGTACTGCCTGCAGCAAGCGAAAACAGTAAATATATGCATGTGCAACAATACGCTTGAACGACAGCAACAACAAACTTGAAACAATCATATCTATAGTGCACTGCTGCTGAAACAATTGGCGCTGCTAATGAGGCACTCACCTGTGCGCGTAAAGGAAATGAAATTGAAACAAAAGTATAAGAAAAAAATAAAAAATAATGGAGAAAATATGAATAAGTAGCAAACGCGGTAAAGTAAAGTGTGTAAATGATAGACGCCGTGACAAAGTAACAAGGCAGCAGACAGTAGATAGGCATAGTAGGAAAAAAAAACTGAATAGGACTTGCTGTCAGAGAGAATAGCTTTTTTACGAAGAGTACCAGAGAATGGAAAAGTAATTTTTAAAACGCTGTCATTGCTAAGGGAACAAAGCTGTATTGAAATGTCGCGTGAATATAGCACATGTGTGCATTGTGGTTGGATTGTGGTGAGAGAATATATAAATGAAGTAGCGTGACCTCTTCATCGATTTATAAACATCAAGTTTTCATTTATATACGCGCTCGAAGTAACTGTTAATGTACATTGTCTTAGTGATTCATAACAATAACTCTTATACTAGTATAGTGACTAAATGTTCGTTGGAGCATGTGTGTGCATACAAGCGAATCAAGTTTTTCTGAAATTACACGAGAAGGCATATCCTTTTAACTTTATTATTATCACATAATTATGAATTCATAACCACAGGCTGCAGTCAACCCCCCATCAACACGCACAGATGGCTCAAATGAAAACAAAAATTGTAGACAATGAAGTGTGAAGTGATTGTTTATGTGTTTGTTGCAGGCTTTGGACAAACAATTGAGTGTCGGAAAAAGTGGCATTAAAGCGAATGACACATGCTTTGTTGGGACTTAAGCAAACAAAGATACACGCAAAATACATATCAAAAGCCCCAGCATAGCAACAACAATAATCACATGGAACGAGATTTGCGCATTGCAGATATCACACGTGAGGAAACTTTTTAAAACGTGAAATTATCTGCTATTAAAACAAATCAGCTTGACAGATATATGAAAGGCTTAAGATATCCCAATTGATAAATAAAGGTCTAATTTGTTTTTAGAACACTTTTCGGGGCAATATTTTCATAAGAATCCTCTTAGGTTATTATATAGTATATATTTTTTACTGATTGTCCAGGAAAGTTACCATTTTTTTCTGTATGCTTCCCTAGAAGATCTATATATTATTTCTAGTTTATTGAAATTTATACACATTTTTCCAAATACTAGTTATTACTGGTCCTTAAAAAACGTTTACGAGGAAACTTATTTGTTAAACAAATTCTCGGTTGAAAGAAATCATATATTCTTGGCTAACATTGGTAATTATAAAGGCTTCTTATTTTTTTTTTTTTTTATTTCTTTAAACTTACCGAAACAAGTATAAGTATTAGCTATTAAATCCTGCAAAAGAGAAAAAATATTAGTTAGCATAGTACCAGTACGAAAATTAGTAAATGGAAACTAATTTATTAAATAAGCTTAGGAAAAATTATTTATGTTATGCTAAATAATTTGTTGATAACGGATAAATGTATATATAGGTGTCATAAAGTTTTAAAGGTCATTCCCTTGAAAAATAATAAAGTTATTAATTCAAAAAATCCTGTGTGACTAGTTCATCTATTTACTGGAGTTTTTAAAAATTTCGGTATAGAACATTGGGGAAAATAATTTCTCTTGGAAGTTTTTATAATCAAAATACCTAGAAACAATAGACTGGAAGTTTGCTATATGAAGCCATAATTATGTAATGTCTTCCAACAAAAAATAAAAATAATTTTGAAAGGGTTTTCTTAAAGAGTAACATTTTCTACGCCTAATTTTATGCTACAATTTTGTTTTCATCATATTTCTGTACGCACGGGATGGATGCTTAACTCATTTAAACAATTGCCTTTTCGTTGGTATTTATTTTCCTTCAATGTTGTTGGTGTAAAGTTTTTGTTAACGTACTTACATATGTAGATATACATACAATATGTGCAAGATTGTATTATGACATGATTGGTCATACGATTTAATAAGTAACAAGTCAGCTCTCATCTGTTTGGTTTGGCAATTTTGTAGCACGCTGTAGAATAAAGTAGAATGGTTGGGAATGAAGTGCTGACTATAATACTCATATTGTATGCATACTGTTGTTGTTACTACAATTTCTTGGCGGTGTTTCCATTGTGACTTCCGCACCAATTCGCAGTTTTATGTGAAACTCTCTGAGTGCATAAAATAGCGTGCCTCTACATGCGTATGATTTGTTCAACAGATTTTCTTATTTAGATTTAAGTTCAGCTTAAGGATCTAAGTGTCCATACAAAATTTCAAAGTGCCAAAATCAAGGTAATTGAATTGAAATTATTATTTGAAGGGCAATGACAAATCCGGCTTTAAAGTAGCATTATATAATATTAGAAAATAAATATCTTATAATCATATTTAAGCATTTCTATGCAATTAGAGGAAAATTATTTATTTCATAGACATTTTTGAAATAATTTTTTAAAACTTTTGAAACCTTTTCCGATATCATTTTAAGTATTTCATACAGCAAAGTGTTCATGGTATCCTGCTTTTTGAGCTGTTTCTATTTCAACAGATCAATCCTTTCGAAACACGCAAAATAAGCACATAGATTTTAAGCCAAAATATGCTTTGCTTGATTACAATTCGCTGTACTAAAATTTACTTTGCTCTTTAGGGCATTTGGTTAGCGACCCGACCATTAATCTAGGAATATAGGAAAAATAACCAAGATATATTTGTATGAAGTTTTATAAAGATATCTCAATTTTTCTAAGTTTATTACTTCAACAGATGAACTGACAGAACGTCAGACGGAATTCAGGTCATTTCATAATTGCGATGATTTATATATTTATACATAACCTTATATTCATATCAATTAGCTCTAGCTGTTACTACCACTAGGAGAACGAAATCATATACCCACCTCCAGCATGGTGTTGGAGTATAAAAATATAGAAATTTGGTCAGTCTTTGCTATACCCGTTTACTACGAACCTGATAAAATTTAAATCGGCTGCTTTACTTTACATTCGGTATTACTACTAAGCAAAAGGAATTTGAATATAATTAATAATATTTATGGTAATCGATAAAAATTAAAAAAAAAAAAAAAAAATCCTTTTGGTTCCAAAACCGCATAGAAAATGTTTATATTTTTATAAAAAAAGAATTATCATAATATATTTAAAATTATAAATTTGCATCAAAGTCCCTCTCCCGTAATTTCTTGACTAATCTATATTGACATTAAACTGTGCCTTCATTCAAGTTCACTTTGCTTGTGAAGTATAAGAGTCGTTAAAGTGCTAACTTTCCACAGATGTTTTCTGATTTGTTTACGGTAGTAGTTGGCGCGATATATTTTGTAGCTGTATGTGCGTATGTAGGTATGCAAGGGAACCAGCTGAATTTTGTAAAAACACACAAATGCCAAATGTGCTACAACTTCATACCCAATAATCGATTAACAAATAAATTCGTTTTTAACATAACCTTCAAAACCTCACCACAAAATTTGTCCTTGCAATACTTGCTACTAATTCGCTCTCGTTTGTAAGTATGTGTACGTGTTATTCCTCCACCACATTCACCTTGACTGTTTATTAATAGAAAATGACACCATAATTGTGTAAAACTGCGTGTGCACAAAACTAATTTAATCATAAAAATGTTTACTTAATTTGTGGCACAGTTTTTGTTGCTATTTCGTGGACAGAACAAATCCTTATGTTCATATTGTGCATTTATGTCAATGTTTTTGTTGCTTGGATTTGTTTCCTAGTTATTTGCTACACAAAATCATTCTCCTATCCGCCTTTTTGTGCGTTTCGTTTAATCTTCTTTACTCTTTCTTCCCCTTTTGTCAGTCTTCTCAAATTTGCGTGCCTGAAATGACAATTTCGATACGTTTAAATAGAAGGTACACCGGTACTTGTTTACAATACGTTACGTATACAACATGGCAAACCAATGAAGGCAACTTGGCTGCCATGTGCTGACCGTCAGCATTATGTGTGATCGAATAAATCAAAGAATTTGTAAAATTAAAGCATTCGTCACGAGCTAAACTCAGCTCTTACACGGTGAGTGATGCCCGCAGACACCGCACGGTCGTAAATAAAGCGTGTGTAGCTTTGGCGGAAGAAGAAACTAAGTTCGATTGTCACCGAACATTTTATACTCTCGCATGATAAAGTGATAATCGAGATTTCATTATCCGTCATTATCCGTCATTTACATATTTTTTTATTTTGCTGTAAATTAATTAGATTAVRYCRATTTGTGTACTTTGAGTATTGAATTGTATTTTCATTTATTTTAATTGCATTGAAAAGTTATAGTCCGATCACGTAAATTTTTCCACAAGGCTCAAATACCGTATTTGTGTAAAGTTTTACTCCGGTATCATCATTGGTTCCTAATATATATATTATACAGAGAAGGCATCAGAGGAATTCAAAATAGCGTTATATTGGAAGAAGGCATGGTTGTGAACCGATTTCACCCATATTTCGTACATGTCATCGGGGTATTAAGAAAATATTATAAACCGAGTTTCATTGAAATCGGTCGAGTAGTTCCTGAGGTATGATTTTTGGTCCATAAGTGGGCGACGCCACGCCCATTTTCAATTTTTAAAAAAAACCTGGGTGCAGCTTCCTTCTGCCATTTCTTCCGTAAAATTTAGTGTTTTTGACGTTTTTCGTTCTGTCTCTTATACACATCTAGATGTGTATAAGAGACAGCAGACGGACAGACGGACAGACGGACGGACGGACAGACAGACATCCGGATTTCAACTCTACTCATCACCCTGATCATTTTGGTATCTATAACCCTATATCTGACTCTTTTAGTTTTAGGACTTACAAAAAACCGTTATGTGAACAAAACTATAATACTCTCTTTAGCAACTTTGTTGCGAGAGTATAAAAATATCAGTATTGTCGTTCGGTATAATGGACTACTTAAAGAATTTGATATCCTTTCTAAAATTTTGTGGCAAAAATATTTGTTATAAAAATTATTTCCAATTAAAAGGGTCGTTATATAAAATATCCTAATCAGACTTGTGTATAAATGTTGCTTCTTAGTTTCCTGAACAAAAATCAACAACCATTTTATTTTTGTTTTTCAATTAAAAATATTTAATTTAGTAAAAAGTGACTGATTATAACACTTGAGCGCGTTTTAGTATTTTCCTATTTTCTTCTGCAGGTATTGGGCCACCCCAAAATCTACTATTTACCTATAGAAAAGCATATGTGATACAATAATGCAGACTCTTGGTTATGTTGAGTAGTCAAACATTGCACAGCACCAAAATCTGAAACTGACTTTTTAATTTCCATATTTTCCACTTTCTGCTCGGCCTTTTCTTACACACAAACCGCTTAATCGGTGCCTGTATAATTTATTTCAAATTTTCCGGTGCATTAAGTCGTATGTACCAGACAATAACTTTGCATTAGTTTTCGCACTGCCAAGGCAACAACAATGAAGCTAAATAGATGCACAAGCTTGCTATATATATCCACTTGTTAGCACACGTATAATTATATACAACACAAACAAATTGGGTAACAATAATTTCTACATATACGCAAATTTTCTCAAAATCCTCACTTTTACCTCTTTGAATTACACACACTACACTGATGATGACTACACCTGTCTCTTATACACATCTAGATGTGTATAAGAGACCTATATCTGACTCTTGTAGTTTTAGGACTTACA